CAAAGAGTTTCACATCAAATTCTTTATTTATATATAATTTATACGGGGGTAAATCTGATGAAGGAGGAATTATGCCTAGTGGACAGTGGTACCACTAATTCTATACTTAGAGAAACAAAGTATTTCCAAACTCTTACAAAAAGACAAGGAAATGTTTTGATAATCGCCGGACGCGATGCTACGATAGTTGGCTCTGGTCATGCTACTATTGTACTCCCCATGGGTACCCAAATTACAATTGAGGATGCATTATTGTATCCCGATTCAAAGCGTACCTTGTTAAGTTATAGAGATATTCGTCAAAATGGTTTTCATATAGAAACCCGTGATGACAATAATGAGGAAATTCTCCTTGTTACTAAAAATAACGGATATGGCAAACGAATTGTTGAGAAAATTCTCACTTTTCCATTTGGATTGTACTACACATACATCAAACCCGTACCGCATGTTGCATACAAGGTAATTTTTCAGAATGTTGACGCATTCAAAATTTGGCATAAACGCCTTGGCCATCCTGGTATAGGGATGATGCGAAAAATTATCAGCAATTCTAAAGGTCATGAGTTGAATACTGCTAAATTCCCAAAATCTTTAGATTTTATGTGCACTTCATGCGCTACAGGGAAATTGATCGTACGGCCATCGCCCGTTAAGATCCAAAATGAGCCACTAAAATTTCTTGAACGAATTCAAGGAGATATTTGTGGCTCCATACAACCAATGTCTGGACCGTTCAGATACTTCATGGTTCTAATAGATGCATCTACTCGATGGTCTCATGTGTGTCTTTTGTCCACATGTAACCATGCTTTTGCAAAAATTATTGCTCAAGTTATTAGACTTAGAGCACATCATCCTGAACATCAAATTCAATCAATTCGAATGGACAATGCTGCTGAATTTTCCTCAAAGACTTTTAACGATTATTGTATGGCTTTGGGAATTCAAGTTCAGCACTCTGTCCCATATGTCCATACACAAAATGGTTTAGCAGAATATCTTATTAAGAGAATTAAACTCATTGCAAGACCGTTATTACAAAATTGCAATATACCAACTTCATGTTGGGGTCATGCAGTCTTATACGCTGCTGACTTAATTCAATTGCGACCAACTGCATATCATGTAGTCTCCCCATTGCAATTAGTACGTGGGAATATGCCAAATATTTCCCATCTGCGAAAATTTGGTTGCGCTGTATACGTACCGATCTCACTGCCTAAGCGTACTTCTATGGGTCCACAGAGGAAACTTGGTATCTATGTGGGATATCAATCTCCATCAATTATCAACTACCTCGAGCCTCTTACAGGGGACTTATTCACGACCCGATACGCTGACTGCATATTTAATGAGGACCATTTCCCGGCATTAGGGGGAGATTTCAAGTACCAAAACGAATGCCAGGAAATCATCTGGAATGCCCAGGGCATTTCCCCCTCAGATCCACGTACTCTAGAGACTGAACAACAAGTTTAGAAAATCATAAACTTGCAACATATTGCAAATAACCTGCCAGAAGCATTTACTGATTATAAGGGTGTCACTAAATCCTCTTATCCTGCTCGCAATGCGCCCGAAAGAGTGGAGGTACCAATAAAAACCATTCAACTCACACTTCCAAAGAAGAAGGGAAGAAGTACGGCCACTCCTAAGGATAATGCTACAAGTAAGCATTTGAGGATACCGAGGGCTAAATCCTCCAAATCAGTAAATCCAAGCCAACCTCAAGTTGGTAGACACCCAATAGTGGATAAAAATCCAACATCAGGACCAAATCCACAACCTGGATCAACGGTGCATCCAAATTCTGATCCTGGGATATCGGAACACCCTGACTCTATAGTTTTGGGAAACGTTGAGTCAAATAATGGGGTGAAAGAAATTTCCATCAATTACATAGATTCTGGAGAATCATACGATCGTAAGACTACTGTTGTCGACATGTACTTCTCCGCAGCAATTGCAGAAATCTTTCTCAATGATCCAGATCCCAAGACCATGGCAGAGTACAAAAAGCGCTCGGACTGGGCTCAATGGAGAGAAGCAATTCAAGCTGAGATAGCTTCGCTCACTAGAAGAGGGGTATTCACATCTGCAATACCTACACCTTCCAAAGTCTTTCCTGTAGGCTGTAAATGGGTTTTCGTCCGGAAACGGAATGAGAACAATAAGGTGGTGAGATATAAAGCGAGGCTAGTAGCACAAGGGTTCACGCAGAGACCCGGCATTGATTACAATGCAACTTATTCTCTAGTAATGAGTGGAATTACTTTCTGATACTTAAGGCAGTTCAAAATCATCTATCTATGCAGTTGATGGATGTGGTGACAGCATATCTATATGGGTCACTTGATTCGAACATATACATGAAGGTTCCCGATGGAATCCAAATTCCGAATCCAAACGCAAATCGCAACATGTATTGTGTAAAACTACAAAAGTCATTATATGGCTTGAAGCAGTCAGGACGAATGTGGTACAACCGACTGAGGGAATTTCTTCTACAGAAAGTATACTCTAACAATGATGATTGCCCATGTGTTTTCATTAAGAAATCTCGAACGGGATTTTATATTATATCCGTGTATGTTGATGATTTAAATATCATTGGCAGCCCAAAGGATATAGATGAAGCACGCAAACATCTAAAGAGGGAATTCAAGATGAAGGATTTGGGTAAGACCAAGTATTGCCTAGGCTTACAACTTGAGTACCGTCCTTCAGGGATTTTAGTGCATCAATTAGCCTATATCCAGAAAATATTGGAGAAATTCAATATGGATAAATCATATCCTAATAAAACTCCGATGGTTGTTCGTTCCTTAGAAATAGGGAAAGATCCATTTAGACCACGGGATATTGGGGAAAAGATGTTGGGACCAGAGATCCCATATCTCAGTGTCATTGGCGCACTTATGTATCTTGCAAATTGCACCAGGCCTGATATCGTATTTGCAGTGAACTTACTAACTAGGCATAGTGCGGACCCAACTCGTCGTCATTGGACGGGAGCGAAGTGTATCCTGAGATACCTTAATGGCACAAAGGATCTTGGTTTATTCTTCAAAAAAAATCATGATCTTAGTATGATTGGTTATACTGATGCTGGTTACTTATCTGATCCTCATAACGGAAAATCCCAAACAGGATTTGTATTTCTACATGGAGGTACAGCTATTTCATGGAAGTCCTCTAAGCAGACTCTGACAGCAACCTCTACTAATCATTCTAAAATTATTGCTCTATACGAGGCATCACGAGAATGTGTATGGCTTCGCAGAATGATTAACCACATACAACAGTCATGTGGTATTGGTTCAATCGAATCACCTATAATTATTTATGAAGATAATTCCGCTTGTGTTACAAAGATGCAATCAAGTTACATAATGAGCAATATCACTAAGCATATTGTTCCTAAATTGTTTTATCCTCATGAATTACAAGAAAAACGGGGAAATAAACATCTTGCAAATCAAGTCATGTGATAATCTCGCTGACCTATTTACTAAGTCCTTACCAACTTCTATGTTTCAAAAATTGGTACATGGAATTGGTATGCGGCGACTTCAAGATTTGCCAGAATCAGGGGGAGATATCTCCTAAATGTTAACCTGTACCAGCATCATATTATACTCTTTTCTTTCACAAGTTTTACTTATTAAGATTCTTGTTAAGTTTTTAATGAGGTAATATTAACATAAGCATGTGTCATATTTCCTATTTTCTCTACCGGGATTTTTGTGGGAAATATCAAAGATACATATTACCCTCACAACTCATACATGGTTTTTCCCTGAAAAGGTTTTTCATGTGAGTTATCCAAGAGGCAATACCAATAATATATCGTCATATTTTCTCTTAATTTTTCTACTGGGTTTTTACAGGAGTTTTAGCGACATATCACTTTATATTGCTTCTCATATTTTTCCTGAAAAGGTTTTTGGAGAAGTAATCTATATGTCGCATCTCCAATATTTTTCCCCACTAGGGTTTTTAATGGGATACCAATGACATAGTGATTTATTTAAATCACACTCATATATGCTATTTTCTTCTTATTTTCCTATAAGGTTTAAATGAGTTTTTATAGCATATTTATACATACATATTTCTCAGATTTTTCCCACAGGGTTTTTCAAGGAATTCAAACATACAGCTACATTGATCTCAAAGAAGATTCGATCAAGGAGGAGTGTTGTGAAACATCACCCCCTGGCCGAATGGACGAAGGGACACATCCATCCAAACGACATCGCAGTTAGGACTAGTATAGACAGTTAACCATTGTCACCAAAGGGACATGTCCTTTGGACACTAACAGTTGTGTCCGTACGGACACACCCCTTCACTTTATATATATATCTAAGAGATCAATGAAAGCAGTTTAGTTGTTTCCAAATCTTGTTCATTTTCATTCACTTTCAACATGTACTACGAACCTGCATCCCACCATCACCGTATGATCATGGAAGAAAGAAAAAGAGAAACAACGTATTAGGCACGACTAGTGTTAATCCCCCGAGCTACAGCTACGAGGCCTGAGATCCTAGACACATAGGTGAAGAAAATTAACAAACATCAAATTGGATCAGAGACAATTGTAATTGGAAGTTGGAACTACGAGTCTGCGACCCAGGTCAGGGCGTAAGTCCAATTCAGCCCTTCATACCCCATGGCACCGCCCAAAACTCTCTAGGTACTTGTATGCATGTCAGCCGACAATAAGGTATACAACAAACGGGAATAGCAGAACAGGAGGTTTTCCATGCCTTCTCCCACAGCAGAAAAATTATCCACACCCACAGCATTTAGATGCTCCCCCTTCAGATAACCACGGAGCAGAAGAGAGCAAAGTCAACAACTGCACAATGTTCACATCACAGCTATACCAGCAGTACCAATGCCTCCTATTAGTCAGCTATAGTCTATCTTCGATGCTACTCTAAAAGCATAAGAGATGCTACTCCAGAAGTATAAGAGATGCCCACGGCCTACTGGGAGAATACATTTGACTTGCAAATCGGACACCATGTCCTCATCCCGAGCCACCTGTCAATGCACTGCAGAAAAAGAGTTGAATCCAATGAACACATTAAACTGGAACGTTAGAACAGAAAACAGTTCTGAATCATTCAACTGTTGGGTGTGTACCTTTTTGTGAAACTTGTGCAAGCATGGCAAATGCCGGATGGAATCACCAGCAGCAGGGCAATCCAAGCATATGTTACAGGGTTGATCCGAACAATTTTCACCCTTGATAAATGAAAGGATTGGAGTCAAATTATAAGGGGATGCACGATCCATCTTCAGTAAGACTGAATTCATACCTCAACTAGTGATAGTGGCAGGCTGTTTATTTGATCATCAGAAGCACCTCTGTACTGGATGTCAACATCAAATGCTATGCGGTCCTCATAATCATCACTATAAGTGATAAAAAGTTGATTAGTCAGAATGGATGTAACCAAGAAGTATGTACAAGCAAGGAAAGAACACGTCAACAGAATCCCATTCAAAATGGGGCCATGGGACAAGCCATTTCAGGCACCTACTAGCTACTACAGAGCACACGACAGCTATTTGGAGCATTCACGCTTCTGTATACGAAACTTTGCAGAATGTGTTACAAGGTAAGCACACAATCAACCAAACATGGTACCAGGTATGAAATTATCAAAATGAGAACACATGGTTGCAGAAATGTCCATCTAAACAAACATTGTGTTGGGGAAAAAATGCTACAGAACAGTAAATGCTTACTTGTCAGAATCTGGAGAAAGTGTGTCCTCGCAGTTCCAAAATGCTTCAGAAAGCGAGTCCAGTACAGCCATTCTCTACATGTTACCAAACAAAGAACTCAGCATGGTTATTGTGATGTGGATATTCAAATGTTTGAGAATGTTTGAGAAATATCCTCTTCACATCCAGTTAGGGATCTGAAAAAAGTTTTTTTCCCCATACTGTTACTATCAACATAAGGCAAGATGTGCGAATATTTTAGTATATGCAAGTTGCTTCTACATACATTTTAGTATTGTACTAGATAAGAAGGCTCTAGGCAAAGGCCCCCAAAATCCCAACATAGCATGATCCTCTCTAGCATATAGAGTAAGTTCTAACCATTTCTAGGTCCATGTCTTCTCCGAAGCATCCCTTGGTTAACTGAGAGATAAGCATCTGACAATGAGAAAATGTCAGTGCATGCGACAGAGGTGGAGGTCCAGGAAACAAATTAAAAGTGTCTCACATTGCGTTGCTCCGCTTGAGGGCAGTTGGAGTTTCTTTGCAAACCTCTTCTGCTTGGCATTGGAATTGGAGTCCGGTTGGATGCCCAAGAAGCAAAACTTTGAACGGGTGAGTGACATCCATAAGAATATAGGTGTGCCATTGATCTGTCCCTCTGGCTCTGAGAACAAGAGTGCATTTAGAAAAGAAAGGATGCTATGGAAATTCAGAAAAATAGTATGGAAAACAATAGCAAATAGGAGAGAATATGTACATGAGTCAGGAATTCAGGATGCATGTTCATATAAATGAGAATAGGTTTTTCTTATATATATAACAGAATGGACAATAGATATGAAATGTCATAGCCAATACAGAGAAATATATGTGCACAAAACTAAAAAGTAAGCCAATAATGGTGGGCAGGAAGAGATATTTTTAAGTTATATATAATGTTTTTGTTGATGCATGTAGACATGTCTTAGTTTTGAGACTTGTTTTCTAATCAATGAATCCACCAAGTGCTGAATTTCAGATGGTTACAGGCAGATACGATGTTACGCCATCCTCTTCAGTTTCAACACATAGCTCTTGGCCAACTTGACAATGTGTTCCATAACTTTCAAACAAAACTATAGGCATCAACATAACAGTTCATAAATAAAAGATCTGGCTATGCATAAACATATCTACATTGATTTCGCAAGCGATAAACTACCCTCACACCACGTGACAACTTACAGAACTAGACTGGCCTTCTCTTGCAGCAAATCTGGCATGCTCAGCATCTTGCTCATGTAATGTCCAGGCTATTGTTGTATCAACCTACAAGATGTCAGCAATGAAAAAGTTATTGGTTACATCCACATCAACTAATCAGAAGCACACAAACAAAAGGCAAAATCAACTACTAAGAAACAAAAATTAGTTGGAAAAGACACCAAAAGGAAACAGAAATATTAAGACTTGAGTAGTCCAGGGTAACAACCACTTCGGAATGCTGAGAGCCTGGCTGTTCCTGATTGAGCTGCTCTTGAAGTCTGCGGGCAAACGCCTCATCATTCTCAATCTGCCTGGTTCTCAACTGATGCTCATCAGGAAGTGGGAAGTGCAGCCCTTTGATCTTCGACAGCCATGACGAGCTACTATCTTCCATAAGAAAATCATCACAGCTAGAAATTTCACAAGCAGCCACAGACCTTTGGGAGAAGACTTCATCCTCGTTATCTTTCATGTCAGTATCCCAGGAGCTCCACAGTAAGTTGACAGGATCAGCAGGGTTTGCACCAAGAATACCCTTCCACTTGTCACTGGATGTCTCATGAAACCCCTTCCTCTCTGACCCTAGACGCGGCATGGGGGCCGAGTTAGTAAGCTGATCACCCCGGTCACCCCAACTACCCCAACACCCAGCTCCGTTATTCCCACCGTCCCAAGCCTTGCACTTGCTCACCAGTGCGCTCCACGGATCACTCCCAGCTCCCAGGACGCGGCCAGCAGCACCGAGCAATTCTCCACCGTGCTTTGGAGGCCCCGCGCTCTCCCCCTCGACGACCTCCTCCTTCCCTTTCTTCAGCGCGTCACCCCACGCCGCGCCCGCGTCCGCTTGCTCGAAGAGGATGTCCATGGCACTGGAACCAGTGTCGCCACCCCCGCGATTGGGGTCTGGAGCCGGCTGCCGAGAGGGGCGCTTGTGATCGGGCGAGTGCGCCGACACCTCGCCCTCGGAGTCGGAAGACAAATCCACCACCTGCACCTCCATCCCCTGCACACAAACAAAAGGAAAATGCAATGAGGATCGGGGGCGAGCTCAACGCGAAAAAAGAAGGAAATAAACTCCACCAAGCACGCAAAAAAGCGGAAAACTCGCAAAAAGGAGTGGACGAATCCATCTCGGAAACAGAGACATGGAAAGAAATGGGAAAAGGAGAACCGAAATGAACTCTTTACCAACGAGGTATAATACAGAAGCCGAGTCCGCATAGATCCACGCCGACGGTACTTGTCGAGGAGGGGAGGGGAGGAGGAGGCCAATTCGAGGCGAGGTTGTCGGGTGGGCGGGGGCTCGGCGATGCGCTCTGCAGCGCGGTGAGGCTTGGAAGGTTTGGCTGATGATCGAGGGAGCTGGGGATGGGGTCGCGAGGACCCGGCCGTCGGCGAGGCGGAGAGCGGCGAGAGGTGAATTTTCGAGAACGACGAGGGCAGGAGGGAACAAGATCCTCTGCAGTCGACCCCTCACGACTGCATCCGGCAGTCGTTCCATCCCTGCCGTTCCTTGCCATCGAACGGACCAGCGCTGAGCCCAGGCGCTCCACCTCCTCCGCACGTCGTTCGGGCCCAACAACATGGCCCGTGGCCTGTTTAGCGTAGAAAGCAAGCATCGGTCCTCTGTCGCTCTCGCCGCCGTCGCAACTCGGTCGGTCTCCTTCCCCTCCACCGCCGTCGCTCTCGCGAGCTCATCCAGCGCGACTCAGGCCGCGACGATGTCGTTGGCGTCGGCGTCCACGCGGCCGACGTGCGGGACGCTTCCGCCGTGGCGTGAGCGCTCGAGGAGGCCGGCCCCGTCGACGTGGTGGTCTGCAACCACGGTGTGTTCGCGTCGCGTGAGCTTGAGAGGCACGACATGGATGAGATGATGCGGATGGTGGACGTCGACCTTATCGGCACCCAGAGCACGAGCAGTCTAGGAGTGCAGAGTAGAGAGAAAGATCTAAGAGCGCAGAGTACTTCACTTCTCGTATCAATGGCAACCGAGCACGAGCAGGGCAGGTGTGCATGGTGTTCTGAATTTTGTTTGAAAACGTTGGCATGTTCTTGTTCAGATGGATCCGAAGCCGAACACGAAGAGGCACCAATTCGAGGAAGCCAAGAAGCTGGGCATCCTGTGAGTGGTGAGGGACGAGGCCGGCGAGCCATACATGATGCTCAACACGGCGTTCGACGTCGCGATGCTCGACTTCACCAACCCGGAGGCGCACGCCTGGTTCAAGAGCATCGTTCCTGCACGGGATGATGGACCATGGCGTCAGCGGCTGGATGGCTGACTTCGACGAGGCCTCTGGACGTGCGGCTGCCCTCCAGCGAGGAGGACCGCGTCGCCGCACACAACCGGTACCCCGGAGCTGTGGGCGCGCGTCAACCGCGAGTTCGCTGACGAGTGGAAAGCCCGCTGCTGTGCCGCGCGCGGAGGCGATGACGTGATGGCGGCCATGGCGGCGGCGAGGACGAAACGACGGCCTAGTGTTCTTCGTGCGGTCTTGGTTCCGGGAGAGCTCCCGATGGGCGATGCTGTTCTGGGAGGGCGACCAGATGGTGAGCTCGCAGGCAAACGCGAGCTGTCGCGCCAAAAAGAAGAAGAAGAAGAAACACCGCTGCTTTTTACGCTTAAGAGGCCGTGTTGTTTGGCCGGAATGACGCACGAAGGAGGTGGAGCGCCTGGGCTCAGCTGGTCCGTTGGATGGCAGGGAACGGCAGGGATGGAGCGACTGCACCCGGCAGTCGTGAGGGTCGACTGCAGAGGATTTGGTTCCGGCAGGAGGGAGGGCGAGGAACTGAAAAGTGGAAGGCGGAGGGTGCTCCGGGCCCACTATCTCGAAAAGATTGAGCAGCAGGGGAGGAACGTGGCCGTGAATTCTTTCTGTTTGGTTTGCAGCGCACTGCGCACCCCCTAGGCAGGTCCGCTCAAAATCGACGGCCTGGGAGCTGCCTGGCCAAGGCAACTTTGCCTGGGTTAGAACCAAACAGCCCCTCAAGAACGGATCCGTCTGTGGTTTGAAAGGACGTGCTTTTTTTTTTGCCTAAACAAATTGTAGAGTATAAAAAATGATGCTCTAATTACCCTTAGCCTTGTCGGATATTTAACATCATATGTCACTAGAATTGTAAATAAGAGTTTTTTTTACTATGCTCGTCTGCATCTAACCTAGGACCGTTCATCATCCACCCCTCTTCAATTTGGAAGAAATGAATGGCTACCATGAAAACTACCATGGTAGCAGCCTATGAAGCCATGACAGATATTTGTTGCTGCAAATTCTTCTACATGCATAAATGAAAGTTTGATTTTAGGTTCAAGCAAACCTTGTTGACCTCTAAATGCACACCATTTCAGTCATCAAACTGTACCGGTGGACAAGGGCTCATCACCTCGGCTGTTGTGTGTAGAGCACAACCACCTAGAGGCTCTACATCAACATCATCGACTAAGAAAAGCAAGAATATACAACAACTAAGCATATCCCTATCTCAACTACTGTGGTACAGTAAACCCTAGCACATATAGATCATCGCCAACACAATAAAGCATGAAAATATCATTGATTAGGACATAGCAATCATAGATCCAGCCATACCACACAGGATTAAGCCAAGAACTGCCTCGAGGCACCCCAAAATCCGAGCATCACAGTGAAATATAACACGTAAACCATCGAATCGGGCCACATGACAAACAAAATGCTAGGATTTCACCTTGCTTGGAGGACGGAGAGGAAGCAGTGACGAAGAAGTGCAGAGCTTGGTGAGGAGAAACTAGATCAGGTGAGGAAGATGACCCGAGCTTATGGACCAGGGCCCACCACAAGCCCACGTCCAAGCAAACAAACACGTCAAACACTGTCGCACGTCTCCTCATCTAAAGGCCCAAGGAAGAAAACGACGAAGAAGCGTAGGCACACCCGTCAACCGGCGAGATGGAAGAGGGAGCAACCATTGTGAGCCAGACAAGGCCCGCCTACGACCCCGCCGGAAGGAAGAAGGGAGACACACTTGCACATTGAGGAGAGTGGAGAGCGAGGTGGAGTGAAGAGAGAAGAGCAGGGACCGGTGGCGGGGAATAAAAGGGCAGAGGAACCCTAGAAGAGGGTGCCGACATTTATAGTATATATGCCGGGCCAACCCTGAGGGGTGTGATGGGTGCGACCGCCGAGGGCCCAGCCCAAAGACGGGCCCAAACCTAGATATGTAAACATTAAAACCCCGCATGCTATAGTCCGGCTATCAATAACAATAGCTTCGGAAAGTAGTCGACGGTGATTCAGTTTCCCAAAGAAATTCACGATCTCGACTCTCCGGTCTCTGCCTGTTCGGTTGTTCCTCTCGAAACAAAGACTGCAGGGTCTGGATGCCTCGTCTGGTGGCTGCAATCTATAGATTAAAATATTCAATTTAATATTACCATGACGACACGGATTACGTAGCGCATACACGATTCTCACTTTGTTGTCACCATGGGAGTGAGAGCGGGCGGGGCAACGCTGACGATAACCGTCCGTATATTTTAGGTGTAGAAGAGATAATAGTCTCATGTAGTGAAACATTTTTCTTCTAATTTAGGATCTTAGGCGTTGAAATTTTACAATATTACCTAAGAAAACATTTGTCCGGGCTCAGAAAAGGAAACGAAGGATCATCATTAAACATGTTAAATGAGAGAATGTTGTTTGTTTTATTTTGCGCTTTGCAAGTATAATTAGGCATTAATATATATAGCTTTATGGACACAATTATTTCGCCGTAGGGCCCTTGAAAACATAGGACCGGCCTGATAGTATGTTTGAACAAAGGATTTATTTAGTAAATCAAATTTATTTCTTCACGAGAAAGTAATGATATACAAGGTTCATATATGTTTGGACAAAAGATTTAGTAATCAAATTTATTTCTTCACAAAAAAGTGATGATACACGAGGTTCATAGCTGTGACTACAAATAAAGAAATATATGGTACAGATAGCTTATGGACGGGCTCGAGCCTCCACGCTGGATCCACTCCTGCTCATGATGGACAATCAGACTGTTTGTTTGGATGTGGCTTGTCGTAAACGATCGTAAATTTCAAAGTATTTTTCTCTCACACAAAAAAGCCAGCAGTACTTCTTCACGAACCAACAACAAAACGAACCAGCCAACCGAACAGGCTAAATACTTCTAATGACGACAAACGCTAACGGAGCATTGACTATAGAATGTGACGTGTGTAAAAATGAGCGAGAAGGGTGCAAGATAAATTACATAAATCAAATGATATACTAGTTGAGCAATTGGCGAAGCATCTTGCTAGTTTTTTATAAGACATTTGGATTAGAGAGTCTTTGAGGAAATGTTGTCCACTAGTTTCTCCTAAAACATGTTACTATGATTGTCATTTATACAAGGCCATGATCATGGCCTAGAGCTCCCAACGGGCGACTCGAGGCCGACTCACCGGTGCCCTAACCTAGCCCCCCTCCACGCACCTCCTCCTCCGCCGCCGCCCCCCCGCGCGTCGCAACAAGCGGCCAATCTGCCCCCCCAAAAGTCTCTTTGACGCAGCCCTCCTCCCTCCCCCTCTCCCATCCACACCCCTACCCTCTTCGACTCCAGCGAGCTAGGCCGCCCGACCGGCCGGATCTGGGACTCTAGGTGCTAGATCTGGCGCCTCCTCGAAGTTGGCACGCTGGGGGCTCAAGGTCCGAGCTTGTCCGGGCCTCTTCACAAGAGTCTAAAATCGACGGATCCGGCGACGGTTTGGCCAGGGCCGGGGGCCCGACTCGCCTTATGCCGAGACCGGTGGTGGAGAGTCACTGGGAGGCAGGTGCGCCTGACTTTACTCGCTCTAGCCGGCCCCAGGCGCCCAAAGACCGGCGGTCTGTCTCTCTTCGGTGTCTGCGACCCCGCCAGTCGGGACGTGGCTTGCCAAGGTGGCGTTCGTGGAGATCCGCCACGTCGCCGTGCCGCAACGACCAGGCTGGCCCACCTTGGCCATCCCGGTGTCCACGGTTGCGGTGGCCAGACTGCGTTATGTGGGCCTAGCGCCTGCGACGGGGGCCCATCGGATCTGGCCTGCCATGGCCGGCGAGCAGTCTTCGGATGAAAATCCGGCTGAGCTTCTTGCCTTGGGCCGACGACGGTGGTGCGACAGTGTCATCACCTTCTTGGAGGCGTCGTCAATTTCTGCTCGTCGTTGGGGGTTGTTGGGGCAAGTTTGGGGACGAAAGTTCCTCTCGGATGCCCCTCCCAACGAAGTTGGCTTCCGCAGATATCATTCCCTTGTTGAAGGCTTCGTTGATGCACTCCGCCTGCTCCTCCCACGTCGTCGCCGGATGTCGCTCCTTACTGTACTGTGCTTGCGTGTGCCTCATTCTACTCTTCGCATCTGTCTGCCCTGCCTCAGTTGATGTTGCTTCTGCAGTCGCTCGGCTGGTCACAGTGGCTACCTGATCACTGTTGATGTTGCCACTGCAGTCGCTCGGTTCACAGTGGCTACCTGGTTGCTGTTGGAGTTGCCGATGTAGTCGTCCGGTTGATCACAGCGACTACCTGGTCGTTGTTGCCGCTGTTATCTTGGTTCTTTCTGTGGATGCTTTGCCGCCGCGGCTTCGTCTTCTAAATGGGCAACCTTTGCGTTGAATTTTTCCCGCAGGTTCAGTCGATTAGGTCTGGGGTGAAGGGTCCTCTCCCTTCCGCCTTTCTTGCTTGTTTTCTTGTTTTCTTGTATCGGGTGCTGGGGGTTTTGGTAATCTTGGGATTGCCGGGATGCCTGTGTGTTGTAATTGTTTAACAACCTCTACTTCCTCTTAATGAAAAACAGGCTACATGCCCGATCGAGAAAAAAAAATAAAACATGTTACTAACCGTTATAGAAACAATTGCTTAAAATCAATTGTTACTTCTCTTATGTCTATTTGTATCCTATAAATTGAATCTAATTCAAGTAGTAAGATTTCAACAATTGCTTTTAAGAATTACCCAGAATTTGATTGCAATCTAGCATTTTTGTTTGGGTGTAACAGAGTTTATTTCTAAGAGGTAGGCCCAACTATCTCCTCCCCCTCGTGGCAGCCAGCTCCTGCTCATGCCTTAGGCCGGTCGGCGGCCACAGCCATGGCATCGTTCCTGTCCAAGCTGCTCTCATCATCTCCACCTGGCCTCGTCGCTTCCTTCCCAAAGATCTATGTCGATGAGTGACAAGTCGAGGAGGGTGGCAGTGCTCGGCAAGCGTCGGGAGAGATGAGGGGTGCTCTGAAATCAATTTCTCATTTGTAAGCCGTGAATCTAATGTAGGGTTGCGTATTCCGATCGTGGAATAGCGCAGAGTATTGCTTTCCAATCCCTGGTCCATCCAAACAAGTGGTCTAAGGAAGTAATTTCAATTCAAGTCAATTCAGAGGATCCAAATAATCCCTTTTGCAACAAACATACATATACTTTGACAGATGGATAATTTCTGTTTACAATGTTAACATGGGGGAGTATTTTTCTAGCAAGTTCCAGTGAAATGGATTTGTAGTGTCCAAACAAGAGGGGAACAAAGCAAGCTGAATTTTGGAGCAGGTTATGTACAACATTGCACACTTGCACTATTTTCTTGGTCCTAAAATAAATCGTCATCTCATATTCTGAGAAATAATGTTAACTTTGATCAATTATTTGTATAAATTATTAATACTTATGATACTAAATAAGTATTACTAGATTAATCTATTTGAAGACAGTTGATACTATTTTCTATAGATTTAGTTAAAGTAAAGATTGATAAACTATGGAGAGAATTCTATTTTATAACGACCTTTTTGTACTTTTCAGCAAGACAGCTCAGTGCTTTGCTGTTTTGCTTTGGTGCATTGGCACGACGCTCCTTTTTTCTAAAAAGGCATAAAGCGACAGTGGAAAACAGAATTGAGGGACTCGACTGTCGAACTCCATTCGTGGGCCTCGTTTAGAATGGGGTTAGAAATCAGTATTTAGCACTGTAGCATTTTTGTTTGTATTTGACAATTATTGTTCAATCATGACCTAACTAGGCTCAAAAGATTCGTCTCGTAATTTATAATCAAACTATGTAATTAGTTATTTTTTTATCTATATTTAATACTTCATGCACGTGTTCAAAAATTTAATGTGATAAAGAGAGAGTAAAAAAACTTAATCTAAACAACGCCGTGAAATCCTCATGGCGCGGTGGCAGCTGTTTGCCTGTTTGGTCCAGATTTCAGACCCTGCTACCCTGGAGGCCTGGACTAGTGCGGCTGCGCCATTCGCCCGGACGGACGTGACCACTGACAAGACACTGGACATTCTCCATCCGTCCAAAAAACAAAGAATATATATACTATTTTAATATGCAAGGGTTATACTTTAGAAGCAGAGAAAGTAGAAAAAGGCTACTACAACCAGGTGGACAATACTATTTGAAGATAAATTTTAAATGCTAAAAATACATTTATTTGGGGACTAAGACTCTTGGAGAGTAGCATAGGGATGGCAGTTGAACTTCCAGGTATAAGCTCTATTCACTTGGGTAATAAGCCATGACTAAAAATATCGTTAGCTGATTTATTATGAGAGAAAAATATTATTTATTTATTGAAAATGTATAGTTTATATGCCAAGCGAGCAGGGTGCATGTGACTGACCTTTGTGCCAAGTGCCAACCATGGCCACGCACATCAGGCATTCAGGCTACTCTGCCCAGTTGCGGTTGGACACTTGTACATGCCAGCAGTCGACGGCGTTGCATAAAACAGCGAGGACCAGCTGACTCCACGTCTCGCCGTCGCGCGCGCGCACGTCTCGCATCGCATCGCCACTTACACGCACAAAAGGCGCACGATTCCACTCCATTCCATGGATCACGACACGGCCCGGGAAGAGGCATATTAGAAAATTGGATAAAAATTGTGAACTAAAAAATTTAGATCAGTATCAGTTGACGCCAACTGTCACTCAGCACGCCAAGAGCATTTAAAGAGTATTTGAAATTGAAGGGGATCTAAACCCATCGATGCTATGATTTGGGGAAAAGTGTTCGTGGTATCAAAGCAATGCCAAATTTGCAAATCAGAAGGTGGAGTCACTTTTGGATACGGGGAGGGGTATCCTAGGTTGCTCCTTTCAGAAAAGGAGCTGTGCCCCATCTTGTTTGGCGAAGCTTAATGCCAAATTATTGTATATAAACTTTTTTTCCTCTTAATTGAAAGACAACTTCTGCCATTGCCATTCAGAAAAAAAATGCAAATCAAGACCAATAGCAGCCAATCAATGAAAAAAAGCAAACAAGCACCGAACTTAGCAATAGGAGTAAAATCTCACATGTTACTTCTAGATATTTGCATGGTGCATGGGCACAATGGTAAGTTGAACACAATTTAGTTTAACCCTACAGTCGAGGGTGGCTAATGAGCATTGCATTTCACAGATGCTTTGCTCTTGGTCTCCCCAGCACAACTGGATACCAACAGAATTCAAATGCAAAGATAACCAGGTACATACAATTATGTGTTCTAATGAAGTAACCAGAATTATCATGCAGAGGAGCTTGCAATTGCCATAATGTGAGCAAGACAAGATCCGGATACATGCAAACTACTTTTGATGACAAATTCTACCGTGGCAAACAAACAAATACAGTACGGTGCAATTAAGAGGCACATAAAAATGCAGTATCACATCCCAAGCAAATTGCATAAGCAGAGGACACTATAACATACATTACAATGAATCTATAGAAAGCACATTCTGATTATCAGCATTTGTGCACATCAATTCCATTTATATAAGGATGGCCATGAGCTTTTTTTTTTCCAGAAAAAGATTAAATTTGTGAGAATCTCAAATTAAGATTTCTCAGGCACAAGCATAAACACATTTGGTACATTAGAAGCATACCATTCTACAACAGAAAACTATTGAACAATTTTAATTCATCAAACGTTCAGTCAACTAAGATGAGAAGTTCAGAAGCAGATCTTCAAATGCCTCCCAGGCCCAGCAAGGCAGAACCCCCCAAAACTGAACCCTAGTACAGAATCCTCAAATTCCAAATACACAAAGACTCCAAATGAAACCCAATACAAAGGATCACCATCATCCACTAATGAACATGTCTTTAAGCAGTGATGGAGCCAGTAGGGGACTGGCAGGGGCCATGGCCCCTCATGACCCAATTTTTCTACTAAAGCCCATGAGGTTGAGAAGAACTTTAACATGTTAGTAATTTATCTTTGAATTAACTTATGCCCCACTAATCTTATAATCCTAGTTTCTGTCAGTCTTTAAAATCTTACCAGAGATTTTTCAGCAATAGTGCATCTCAAAAGAAAAGATAAAACCAGAAACTAAGAATCTAACAAACCACAGTCATGTGCCAAACACATAGTTGACGTAGCAGATGCTACATACACATAATAGTTGATGTAGCATTATAGCAAAGGGTCACATACACTAAAAAACTATTAGTTCCCTTCCCCAACTAGAAAGGCCGGTGACAATGAAATAACATAACACAGTCATAGATTATTGCGGTATCATAAATAAAGCATAGGTTTCTCATCATGCAAAGTTGCAAACCAATCATGTATAAACAGAAATTGCCAAAAAAGAATGTAAGTGATACAGAGCAAAGGTAGCTGAGATTAAATTCGTAATACATTGACAGTTACATGTCATAAACCAGTAAATTCCATCTCATCTAAGAAAAACTTGAGCATAATGCATTGCAAGGTACATTTAAATTTTAAAGACCTGCAATACCTCCGTGGTTCGTATGAAACAACGACAGTGTCTTAGCAAGCACATAATAAACAATCCACTAACAAGTCTATCACAGCAACCAACTGACTGTATCCTAATTTAAGGCCGAAATATTCCTTTACCTAACTCTTCCAATTTAGAGGAAAGCAGGGCTGCTGAGGAATGGCAGTGCAGCGAGAGACATGAGCATCTCTGAGGAAGCATCACCCTTCCTGGCGTGCTTTGCCCTCGCAAGCTGCAGCTGCATGTCCACAAAAGCCTGCATCCGCTTCAGCTCCAGATCCTTGAGGAACTTGATTCGCTGCCTCTCCATCTCCTCCGCGTGCCGCTGCTTAGCAGCTTCCATGCGCTCGTACATATCCGCGAAGGTCTCAATTGCCCTCGCTAGCTCCCCGAATCCACCACTCCCGCTGCTCATCTTCCTCTTGCTGCCAACAGCAGGAGCGGCAGCACCACCACCGGAGCGAGAAGATACCGAACGCGACGGCGACTGCTGAGAGCCTTCATCATCGTCATAGTCGTTGTTGTTGTAGCCATCTTCTGAGTCGGACTCCGCGGCAGCGGCGGCGGCGGCTGCGGCCGCCTTATGGATGAGGTTTGCGGAGGGGAGGTCGGAGCCACGGCGGTAATTGTGCAGCGGGAGTGCCATGGGGAGCGGCGGCGGCGATTGCGGCGACGGGGAGCGCGGCGGCGTCTGGCGCCTCCGGAAGACGGGCAGCGCGGCGCGCGGCGGGGACGGCTTCTTGCTGCCGGTGAGCGTGGGCCCGACGAGGAAGTCGAGCTGGCCGTAGAAGGACCAGGGCGATGGCCCGCCGCGCGCGCGCTCGGCCTTGTACTTCTTCTTGAGCGTGTCGACGCGGTTCTTGCACTGGATGTCGGTGCGCGGCGGGCGGCGGCGCGCGGAGGCCCCGGGGCGGGAGTTGACGGCGTCGGCGACCTCCCGCCACTGCGGCTGGCGGAGGCTGCCGCGGTTGAGGTCGAGGTAGCGCGAGCCCCAGGAGTCGACGAGCGCGGCCGTCTCGCCCTCGCTCCAGCAGTCCTCCCGGTACGGCAGGTTCGGGTTCGGCGGCGGCAACTTCCCGTCCATGGCTCTGGCTCCTCCTCCCAGATCTCTCCCCGCCTCAGGAGTCACGACGACGACGACCTAGCCTTCTCTCTCTCTCGTTTGCGCGTGGAGACGGGCGAACGGACGGACGGACGGGTGGATAGATGTGGGGGCGGCGGTGGAGGAGACGAGGCGGGGTGGGGAATAAAAGAAGGGGGAGGGGGCGGGCGGCGAGGGGAGGAGCGCCGGCCCGTGGGCCGTGACGACCGCGACGCGGCACGTGGAGGAGCGGCGCAGATGCATGGGGCTGTCGTGTGGGCGAGCGGCCGCCGTTGGATCGGCCCGTCGGTCGGGTTTGACCGGGACACCGAGCCGGCGAGAGAGATCGGCCTCGGCGTGGTTCGGTTGGCCGGCCGGCCGGCCGGCACGGCGCGGGATAGGTGGGTGGGACGGACGTGCCGGTGCGGGTGCGGGCCGGGGAAGTTACGCGGCTCGCGCCGTGCCGAAGCAGGACTCGTGAACCGATCGCGATTTGGTGGCGATGGTAGACGGCTCGCGGCTGGCCGCCGTTCGGTCGGCGTGCGTTTCGTTCGCTCGGGGGCAGGGGCAGGGGCAGGCGCCCGCGCCGAAAGAGAGATTGGGTGCTCGGCGGCTCGGAATTGTTCCGGTCCGAACGGCCGGACCGGAAGCCTCCGCCGAATGGAGTTGCGTGCCAAACGGCGTCTTCGGCTGGCTTGTTCCGCCACTCACAAAACTTACTGTTCATGTCTTACCATAACAGTATTTTTCTCTCGTAATAATCAGCCACGAAATCATTGTTCATGTCCTACTAGAACAGTATTTTTCTCTCACAACAATCAGCCATAACAGTATTTTTCAGTCCTGCCGAAACTTTACGTACGGAGCAGTGCGCCGCGCCAATCTGCGGTCCGAGTAAACCTACCGGCAGTACGGATCTGACTAGAGGCATGGATCACTGAAGCCCGTTCGTTTGGCTATGGCTTGTCGTAAACGATCGTAAATTTTCAGTCATAATAGTATTTTTCTCTCACATAAACCAACAAGCAATACTTTTTCACGAACCAGCAACGAAACGAATTAGCCAACCGAACAGGCTAGGCTGCGGTGCTGATTTTCCTGATAGGGCCCATCATTACTACAGCATGGACTGTACAAAAGCTGACAGGTTGCACATCTTCTCTCCGTCCAGGTGTGTTTGCTTTCTTAGTTTATTTTATTATTTGTTTTTTTCTTTTGTTTTTGTTTTCTTTTTTCCCATACGATGTTTCTTTTTATTTTTATTTTACTCAATTACTTTTAATCAATATTTCCTTTTCATTTCATTATTTCTTTTGTTTGTTCATTCTTTTCATTCTTTACGTTCTATTTTTATTTTCTTTTTCATCTTTTTATTTTTTCTATAAATCTTTCATATTTTTATTTTCATTCCCTATGTTACGTGTATTTTTGTTTTTATGTTCTTTCTCAATCTATTTTTGTTTCCTTGATATTTTATTCTTATTTATTTTTTCTTTGTTTTCTTATTCTTTTGCTTCTATTTATATTATTTTTTCTTTTATATGATTTTTTTATTTTTTATTGCTTTGCTTAACTACATAAATAATTTGTACACTTATGGTGTATCGTTTTCTTTTTCTTTTTATGGGTTATATAACATACTAAAACATTTTTATTTTGCTTAAATATATAGAAATATTTTGTGTATTTGTGATGTTTCTTTTGCATCTGCGATGTGTCGTCTGCATATGTATGAGTTACATCACATACCAAAACATTTGGTTTCGATACATGTGATGTTCTACGATATAAAGTTTGGCATACATAAATATTATGCATCAATGCGTGATGTAGGTCGGTAGGTGCGGTTGTTTTCTTCTTTTTATGCTCTTTTCTTTTCTTTTATTCTATTATTTCTATTGTTATATTTTATTTTGTTCCTTTTTGGTTTGATTTTAAATTTTCTTATTCTTTTCTTTTTTGTTTTCTTTCCTTGCTTCTACTTTTTTCTATTTCTTTTTTTGAATTTCATTCTTTTTTACTATAATTAATTATTTTTGTATTTCATTTTCTTTATTTCCATGCTTTATTATTTTTCCATTTTTCTTGTATTCCTTATTCTACTTCTCTTTTCTTTTATGTTTTTTATAGATTTTATTATTTTCATTTCATTTTATATTTTCTTTTGTCTCTCTTATACTTTTTCTTTTCTATTATTTTTACTATAATTAATTGATTTAATAACTTTTATACTTTTTACTTCCTATATTATAAGAGACATAAGTGATCTTCATGTAATATACATGTGATGTTCACATATAATATATATGATATTCTAAAATATATTTTGTGATGTTTAGTACTATACATGTGATGTTCTATGACATATTTTTGTGATATTCGTGTAGTATACATGTGATGTTCCATGATGTATTTTGTGATGTTCACGTAGTATATATCTAATGTTCACGTAGCATACATGTGATGTTATATGATGTATTTTCTCATGTTCATGTAATATACATGTGATGTTCTATAATATATTTTGTGATGTTCATGTAATGTACATGTGATATTCTATAATGTTTTTGTTGTTCACACGACATTAATATGATATTCACGTAGTATATATGTGATATTCTATCATATATTTTAGAATGTTCACATTATATAAATGCGATATTCCACGATTATCTTTTGTCTAGATCATTCAAGTAGTATCATTTGTTAGAATATTTTTTTTTGCCATTTCATCTATCGTTATCCTATTTTTAGTTTTTATATATGTTATAATACAAATAGTATGAATTTACAATTTTTTCTCTTAGATGCGAAAATATTTTTGTGGAAAGTGGATGTGTTTAAAAACCTAGCTTATGACTTTTTATGAGATAAATGTTCGTTAACAAAATTTCATCTAAATATATTTATGTGGGGTCTTGTTTTGATGGATTTATTACAAGAAACACAATGGTTTAATCGCATGCAAAAGTATCTCGTATAAATCAAGTGGATGAATAAAATTACGGGCACTTTGTTGACTTTGACAAACTATAGTAATATATATTCAGCCCATTGACAAAACAACCGTAGGCTACGAAAAGCAATGGCCCATTAGGCCAATCTCAATGGGATGTCATGGGAGTGTCATGCACATTAATTAGGATGACATATCAGCATGAGAACACTTTTTGCATGAAATGGTGAGGAGAGAGAACAAGTTCGTTTCATGACCACGACACTCGCCAGCTCTGTTTCCAAGCTCTCATTAACCCCACGACACCCGCATTGTAACAACCCAGAAAATCCACACACAAAAATCACAACTACAAAATTTTTTCTCAAGAATCCCATGTGATGATGAGTGTCATGTATAGAAACCCAACCTAAGAGATGCATTAAGTCTAATCCAACCCCAGTCAACATATAAGTATGTCATGTCATTAGATAACTGTGTTTATTAATTTCTAACAAATATAATGTTGCATACATTGTTAATTCAAAATGTGATTTGGATTTCCATTTGAGTTATGATTTGCTAAATAACTCCAATAAAATAATAAGACCAGGAGATTCACCAGAATCCAAAGCGGAAAAGAAATGTAAAATGCAAAAAAGAAAAGAAGAAGTGGGCCTCACGGCTTAGCTACCAGCCACTATCACGCCTTGCTAAGATGAGCCGGCCGGCCTCGACTCTTCAACACCGCACCGCTTGCTCACCCCTCTTCTTCTTCTTCCCTCAACACCTACGGTGAGCCTTCCGCCTCTCCTCCTCACGCCTCAACCGGACCTTCTGCCGACAAGCGTGGCGGGCGGCCATGGTGCTTCACATCGTGAGCGCATGGGCCAAGGCCATCTCCCTTGCGCCCTGCCACGTACACGAGCCACATGCACTCACGCACCACACCATGGCCTTGGACGTTATAGACGACCTCTCCCCTCCCAGCCTTCACCTTGACGCCAAGGCGAGAGCACTCGCTCATCGCGCAGCAACGCCGCCGCCGTGGCGTGGCGTGGCCACCACCGCCCGCTCCTCCACCGCACGGCGCCGAGCACCGCACCGCAGCACCACCGCCGCCTCAGCACCACCACCATCGCCCGGCCAGCACCGTGACCACCGTGGCCATGTCCGCCACCGGGTACACGGGCGCTCACGCCTCCTTGTCTCGCCCATCTTGGCGTTGTAGACGGAGCCACGGAGCCACGGCGTAACTCACGCCGCAACGCACGCCGTGGCCACCACCGCCGGCACGAGCCCGTAGTGCACCACCACCGCCCCGAGCACCCACCGCGCCGTCCGCTTACCATGTCGCCATGGCTCACTGCCACGGAAACCCCTACCGCCTCATGAGAATCGAGCCCCGCCGTTGAGTCACCGGTGGGCCGCCCCGCCATGCTCCCACGCTTGAAACCAACTTCCCGCCATGCTCCCACGGAACCGGCCTTTTTACCCACCCAACCGAGACACCGTGAAGCTCAGCACAGCGATTTCACCGTCGGCGGCCACAAATGAACCGCCAACCACCGTGGCTGTGGTCCTAAGGAGTCCTAGCCGTCGCCCCGACCCCACCATCGTAGTCGCCGAAGCCTGACGGTGCTTTTACCCACGCTAATTAGGCGCTAGCACCGCTACGGAAGCTCATCGGTGAGTACGTCGCCGGCGGGCGCGTGCAAATGGAAAAAGAGAGGAGGAGGGGCGAGTTGAGCAAAGATGCAGCCTCTGCACCGTGCACAAGAGCCGAGCCGAGGGAATGACGGTGGACTTGGTCCACTAGGGACCCTACCTTAGGTCCATGGACCAAAGACCACCGGTCCACCGTGAGCCACGCCCACGCCCGCGAGCCGTGGATTTGCCCAAGAGAGGCCCACGGCCGTGACGTGGCAACGCCACAGCTTGCCACGTGTCCGGCCACCGCCCTGCCCGCCCCAACCCGGCCCGGGAGCCCGCTTTGAGACCCAAATTGTGTTGATCGTTAATCGGTCAACGTTGACCGCTGACCGCCCCACATCTCGATGCACGTACA